GGCTTTTTTGGAATTTCATGAAAATTAAATGCACATATGCATCATTGACGTCGTTACCTCTTATACCATGCTTGTTTTGATCAATTATCTCATGCACAAGAAGGAAGCTAAAAATTAATACATTTCTATTACAAAATTATGCGTACCCAAATATATCGATAATCTATATCCATATCTCCTCATACCCAAATTTACATATACCTCCGAGATTGAAATGTCCGTGCCTGAATTTCCAAGAATCATGTATATATAATAATGATACTGAAAAAGGGCTATGACAGGGTACATATGTACACACATATGTACATACATAGATACCTACATACATAAGTACGTACATACAAAATATGTTTGCAGACGAGTACTGATTTTAATGGAACGCAATGGAAGGCTCAAATGTACGAGATTATTGTCTTGTTTTCATCTGCAGGTTCCTTCCCAGCCATAACAATCAAAGAGAAAGAGTTGTCATCTCCGCCACGTGGACATGTTTACCAGATCTTGCCTCTCTGTGTGCCGTATTCCTTGTGTAATCGGATCTCCTCTTTCACATACACGCGTCCTTCACCCAAACTCCTACAGAAGCGCTGTGATTAAAATGCTGGGCAAATGCGGTTCTTAGATGTGAATGGAAGGCGAGAAAAAATGCATAATAATAATAAGGGATCAAGTGAATCCAATACACGCGACGTTGCCCCACACGAATATACAAACGTACAAACATACATGTCGCCACCCTGATTACACAACATTTTATGCATTGAACTCCCTGTTTTTCTGTAATTGGAGTCTTTTATCTCCGTCTCAATGGACATGTCAAACGTGGTCACGAGTGTGCCGCAATCATTCACAAATTCACACACACGGAATAATCTCATCGAAATAATAGTGTCACCAGACCAAAAGTAGTCGGTGTTTAAAAAATGGGCCCAATTCATGTACATACATGTATTTTATATCGATTACTAAAAAACAAAATGATCACTTTGACACGTGAGAGGAGAGCTCATCAGTCATCATTTCCGAATCCTAACCAAAATCGTGGAATTAAGCGAGCATTCAATACCCGATGAGGATAAGAGTGATCATGACGGATGGCGTATTTTAGATATAAGAACCTTGTAAAACATCGGCTTGTAGTAAATCTGGTGACGCTGTAGGTTTAAATATTATTATTTCGAGTACAACACAAAGCTTGTGTGGAATTTAAGTTAGGAAAATTTAGCCAAGAAATTAAGAAGTATATTATATTTGAAAGAAGGGAAACTTAAAAACGGGTATAGGATTAGAGAAGCAGGTAGTTTTCAAAGAAGTTTCATTAACTTTGTAATGGAAAGTTTTAATAAAAAAGAAGCTTATGTCCTATTCTCATTTCCGAACTGTCATTTACATAGAGATTGAAACGATCTGATGAAGTATCTTCCTCAAATCTGTGTATTACTAATATGCATTATTTGAACAACGCTAAATATGTGCATTTATCTATTGGTTAAAGTAGAAATAATTTATTAAATGTTCAAATTGTAACAAAAATCAATTGAATACTACATATGTAAGTACATGAATACACTAATATTTGCCTGTTTTAAATAAACTTGATGTAAGAGGCTTCTTATGTTAGAAAGCTTGAGGTAGACTAGAACGTACTTCACACAATGTTAATTATTCCATTGTTCCCTGCGTTTCACGAAATTAATTAAAACTCATTATTGTCATGTTTAAGCGTCAAACAGCTTTTCAATCTCGACCCGACTTAATTTCAGAAGGAAAAAATACATAATTTCATTAAAAACATGATTTACGTAACACTTTTCCTAAAAATTGCAATAAAAAAATAAATGAAAGGGGTAGAAGGCGTGATAAAATTAGTTAAAAGTGGCCCATAAAATCACCAGTTAGAAGTCATAAAGTTCAGATTAAAATCATTATCAATTTATGAAAGGGGTGTAAATGCGAATAATCTTCCACTCGAGTAAAAAAAATAAGAGTATTTTCAAGTGGTGTTAGAAAAAATCTGCCCTGGAGGTGCTCCAGAGAACACAATTGATTTTTCTCCCACTTTAAAATGCAACCCTTTTTTTATTGTTATTACGCAACCCGCACACCGGATCGAGTTACACTCGCGATTCAATAGTTACTTTCCCCATTCCCGGATCTGAAGTACTTACGGATGCATCATCCTATAAAATGTTTACAGTCCGTTTAATTCTAAATTTTTAAAAAGCTGTTCAACTTCAAGCAATATAAAATTGAGCGAAGAATGGATTGCAATCACATTAAAGTTGGGTTAGTTTACAACCGTGGCGAGGAAAATGTTTACGGCGGAAAGTGAAAGCACTCTCATCACTAAGGATAAGAATGGGGATGAATTTTATGAGAATTATGGAAATGATGACATATCACAAAGGTTGTTTTGAAAAAAAAAATCAAAATCGGATGTGATCTGTTCACCAGTGTGGTTTGTGTCAATTGTGTGTATGCAAGTGCGTGTTTCCCTTTGAATTTAAAGTTATAAGACTATAGATCACTATTTATTGTACGTGTTGTACATATATATTTAGTATGCATTGTGACATAGAAATGCAGAATAAGTGTATATATTCTTAGGATCAGTGATATGCTGAAGCGTGGGTGATAAAATTTATATGTGCACACATATTATGTGTATGTATGTTTAAGGTGAATTGTACATGAGAAGATATACATACGTACTTATTTCTACTGTAGTGTAGTCAATAACCAGTACTTCAACTAATATTGACCTTCACTCTATACAATCTCCGATCAGTTGAAAAAAAATGCATTCAAATTTGTATTCGAAGAAGTTGGAAAGCTAATTGCATTTTATAATTCAATATATACTCATGTGTCAATTAATTGTGCATAAATATCTAAATATTTAACAAAAGTTAGTTGTCCCGAAAGCAAAGCATTTTCTCAAAATTTAGCTAGGAGACCAAAACAATAAGCCGGACGACAACCCGTGCGGCTTAGAGACAACGAAAAATGACCCTGGGGAACACAATTTTTAGTTTATACATATATCGTTTTCGTACATACGCGTCGCTATCTTTACTTTCACATACGCACCTCCGACCTGAAAAATGATGTACGTACATGCTTTTTTTATTTCTGTTGCAAAGAAAAGAATCCCTACTTACTTTTTTACAGACGCCGAGGGTGGCATTTTACGATTTTTTCGGTATTTCTCCTTAAGCGAATAATACACACCAGGCTTGTGCTATAAATGAAATGAAGAATAAGTCAAAGGAAATATTTGAGTGGGGCACGTGCACCTTGGAATGACATGAAAGTGGACATGGAGAAAGTAGAAAGGACGACGAATATAAATCGTCATTACAATTTATGGCTTGTCGATGTCGGTTTCACTCCCGCGGTGTGATGTGCGGAGGGTGAAAACAGCAGTATTAAAAAAACTGGGATGTTTTTCTGCCATGTAACGCTTAAGGTTGCTTACCTCGAATTAGATAAAGTGGTTCCTCTCTCGACCATTCTAGACGAAAATGTGTGCAAGAGATATGCTGAGAAGCAAGATGTATTTTATAGAGCAATAAACCAGTGGATGAAAGTTTCATTAGATGATGGTATGCAAAAAGGGATAGATGTCACTCGTGGTGAAATTCCAGTCGATCAGGTTTTACATACTCTCCATTTTGGATTGATCCAGGAAAAAGTGCTTATTTGATCAGGGAAAAAATATATGATTGCTATTGGGCAATACATTTTAAATTATGAATACATACATACATCAGCATGTACATATGCACATAATTTCAACTCCTCTGATACCTGTAGCACTGTAAATAGTAGGGTTGCCGCGGGTAGCGAAAATGCTACCCGTTACCCGACCCGCTACCCGCAGCACAACTACCCGTACCCGTGCGGGTACCCGTAACCCGTTACCCGTTATGAGAGTTAAGTTAAAAACTAACCGACTTTCAGAATAAATTTGATTTAATTAATTATTTGCTCATTTGGGTTGTTCAGTAGTTTGAGATAATGATATGCAAGTTTCGAATGCCATAATTTTCTAGATATCATAAGATACTTCTGAAACCAGGCTTTTTGGCATACAATGGAACCTTTTTCAAGCTACACCGCAATTTCTTAGCTAATTATGTAAAAAACAATCAGGCCAAAAATTAGGAATTATCACTTATCTTTCGGTTGAATAGTCCGATTAACGAAAACTATTGGGGGCAGAGTTGAAAGTCCATCATAGTTTTCGTCCAGTGGAGGAATAAGATGCAGAACATTAACTTAAAAATTGAACTTTCCCACCAATATTTTTCTTCAAAGTAGAAATCAATCCATCAAAGTCATTTCTTTCGAAGTCATTTCTTCAAAGTCATTCCACGGAAAGTATCACGCGATTCCTAATGTTTGGCTTGACTTTTTGATACACTCCCTAGACAATCGTGGTGTAGCTTGGTGTGCTTGAAAAAAGGTTAATTTTTAGTATGATTTTTTGAAATTTTGATTTAAAAGAATTGTCTACAAATAAAATTTTTGCTTTCCATCTGATTCTGGTTTTCCATCTTCAAATTAAAATCTTGTCAGTCTTACATACATAAATACACACAAATACAAGTTAACATATTTATTACTGATATTTTAGATCAGGCAAATTATACTTGAGTAACAATAAGTTCTCCGAATTTTCGGGACGTGTAAGGTATTTGAGGCTGCCGTAGGTTTCTGTGGCTTCCGAAAAGACGCTCGCTATAAACGTTAATTACTGGCAAATGACAAATTTTGAAATGAATAAAGACTAAATTGACACTTTTGTTGGTAACTTACTGCTAACTTTCTTTGTGAACTGATTTATGTCGCAAATTAAATAAAAACTGAACTACCCGTTACCCGTGCGGGTAGTTCTCGCTACCCGCAGATAACGGGTACCCGCAAGAATCGTGCGGGTATGCGGGTAACGGGTACCCGACCCGTTACCCGCGGCAACCCTAGTAAATAGTTCTGAAACTTATTGCAAATAACAAACGTGATGGTTGAAAGTAGATAAGGAAGGCATCAATTTTTCCAGCAATTGAAATTTTATGGCATTTCGAGTACCACACAATCGGCCGACTTTTGTGTGGCGGTGTTGGCTGGTGCTCTAATTTTCATGAAGGTAATAAGCTTCAATCGTGTGTTCAATCCATCCACTAACATGTGTGTTCTCCTACTGTTTACCCTATAATTACCTCAAACAAATCAAATCTAATGTGACAATTCGAAACCAAATGTAACGAATTCCACATTTCCATTCTAGATTACCTTCAATGAATACAATGACCAGTCAAAATTTTGCAAATACAAATATGACTAATGACAAAATCAATGAAATCAGTGTATTTATTTGTGTATTGTAAATATACAATGCATGTATGTATGTACAGAAGAGCATACATTAATACATGTCAAAACCACGGAAAGCAATATCACACCTGTTCCATTTCCGTTTGCGTCACGTTCCTTGATAGTCTTCAAACATAAATAGTACTATCCGGTAACAAGTCAAAGGTAAGGTCGCTATCGTGATAAGAAGCGGAAAACATAACACGGGTGCATTGAAGCTTGAGGATGAGATGAAAGTTTTATTACAGACGAACTTATTACAGACTTTTCGTTGTCTGGAGAGATTTATAAAGTTTACCTGAGGAAAGTAGGATGAGTTTCATGTTAAGCTTTTCACGTTTGTTCAGCGTAAAATAAGGGTCTCGTCCTCAATAATGAACCAACAATAAAAGTTGTGGTTCTTCTTGCACTTTTTACCATGCACGCGCAAACAAAGGGCTGGAAGGGACCCTAATTATTCCACCCACTACACCAGCCACGCTTGAATCGATCCAAGGGAGATAGGTACTCCCCCAACCCCTTCACTTTTGTAATTAAATGCACACCTGGGCCTCCAATTTTTATACACATCAGTTTCAGGGGTGGAATATTGCGCCCCAGTCAAATTTGGTAATTAGGCCGATCATTTCGCATATGGCGTGATTAGCTATGATAATGCAAATATGAACCGTGCGTAGTCAAGCAGGCAAGTAATTAATGGGGGGCGACCTTGTCATAAACAATTGGAAGTGTCACATCACCCCAAATGCTAAATATCTGTATGTCAGAAGCAGATGTACACAATTTATGTTGGTGCTTGAAGTTAAACATCAGACTGTCTCAACTTGCCTCCAGTTTTCCTGGAGCTTTTGTCATTCATTTTCACTCGGTTGTAATCATTCATGCTTGAAATGTGTTGACTTGATGAAAAACTATGATGTTGTCCAAATGTTGGAGACGTACATAGAATGGTTTAAAGAGAAATGCTGATTTAGTGAATAAATGAAATGACTTTGTCTAGACATTTGCAGTATTCGTAACTAAATTGAACAAAGCTTAGTGGACATTCATCAGTGAGTCCAAATTGTCCTCTTGAGCGTAACAAATAATCCAAGACTGGTATATAGAAAAGAAGGCAGATATTTGCTGAAACAAATAACACTGGACGCTATTACATACGTTTGCAAATAAATACAGTCCTTGATTGCTTCAGAGAAAATCCAATTCTTCCATTTCCTCCAAAACTTATTGTTTTTTGGTCAATGCATAAAGTATTTAGGAAGGAACCAATACAGGATTAGAGTTTAGTGAGAAAGTTGTGGTCTCAATTCTTGTGGTTGAGAAACTGTTTAAATTCATAGATGAGCTGTCTGAAATCTTTCAAATGGAAATTTAGGAGATGACCACATCAATAAGTTTCATCAGCCTTTAATATTATACTTACGTATTTTGGACCAATGTTGAGGACGATTTGATACAGAAATTGTCTGTTCAGGCATGAACTACTTAAGGGATTTAAAAGACGGACAGAGCTAAATCTTTCTTTAGTTTTAGCTTCTCATTTCATCGAATCGAGTGGAAAACGTTCATGGGAAACTAGCTTCAAATGCAAGAAATTTACTAGTTCATGTTTGTAAGTTAATAAATATTGATATACCTATTTTTAATTAGATTCCATAGTCAACCATCCTATTGTTCCAATTTGCACAATACACAACATCCACAGTTTTATATTTTCAGAAAGGGCAGGGCAGCTCGTAATATTGCCATTTGTTTAATATTGTTTGGACATTTCGAGAAGTCGTCCAACCTCAAGATTCATATATGAATTGCATGTTTTGCCACAAAAACATTCAATTTTACCTATTTTTACCTACATACATCAAACAGAATGGACATCAAATAACATTTCGGATTCGGTTTCAATTTGTTGTTCATCTTGAAGATGAAAAGAGGTGAGCCAAATTGAAATCTAGCCTGTAGGCTGGAAATAAATATATTATTTTTCCCCTTTGTTTGTCAAAAGTCGAATGGACTTTTCTATACGCAGAAAATAAATGTGAAGCTGTCCTCTCTCTGTATTTCATTATTCGATTGTATGTGTTTTTCAGGAGTAACCCTGATAATACAAAAAAAATTGTGATGAAACTAACTTCAGAAGGAGGCGGAGGCTTTCATGCTAATGTGATGTTTGGTAGATTGCATCTCTTTGTAATACATATGGTTTTTTTTACAAAAAATACTGTATTGTTGACCAGGAGGAGTTGGTGAACAAGATTTTTTTGGGCGAGCGAAGGTCTGAATGGTAAAAACCTGAAATAGAGTAATAGAAAAAGGTATTCAGGATCACTTTTTATGCAAATGATAGATTGGATGATGGTTCACTTGGTTTTGATTCTTTGGAAGGCAGAGGAGGGCAAAAATAATAAATTTTAAAAGTTGCCTGTGGCCAAAGGCATTCTAAGGGAAATTGTGATATGATTTACTTCAGTTTCAGCCCAATATTTCTTCGGCTCACTTTTTGCATTATGTATGTAACATTTTGGTATGCTGAAGGTTGGTGTATTTAATGCTTCTTGGGTGGCGTCAAAAAATTGGCGACAAAAAGACCATTGCGGTGAAATTTGAGAACCAATGAGGACGCAAATCATTAGTGATTTCGAGCAGACTTGAAGCAACAAAAATGTCTGTAGACGTGATCATTTGGATTTTTCTTTGCACGTCCATTCCATTGTTTGTGTTTATTGCATCTGATCATCCTTTCTTTCAGACGATAAACCAAGTGAATTGTGTTCCAATCTTGAGAAGCGACGTCACACTACAATGGACTGTTTATTGCTCAGGAATTGCTCCTCAGCTGCGTAAATAATTACGTCCTGACCACCAGGGATGGGCAATCCCAGGATTACTTTAATCAGATTAAGTAATCAGATTACATTGAATGTAATCCGTAATCCAGTAATCCACGAAAAATTCACATTTTAAAGTAATCCGTAGTCCGTAATCCTAACTAGGTCTGGAAATTACATGTAATCCGTAATCCCCAATTTACGAGATTGGAAAATGTAATCAGATTACGGATTACTTTGCTGGATTACTTTGCTCCTGTAAACGGCATGACAGCTCCATCTCGCAACTTCTCCAGAGTCTGAGTCACTTGCTGAACTTGAGTGCTTAAACTACCTTCTGGATTTTTCAGCAGAGTTGCAAATTTTAGAGAATTTTGGAACAATTAAGAGGGGTTTATTTACTACAACACAGTTTTGTCTGCCCCAAGAAACCGACTGTCAGATGAATCATTCAAAGCTCTTCTTTTTTGAACTTATCATCATCATGAAATATAAGTGTGACGCTATTCAGAATAAACCGTTGCGAACGAAATGTAGCAAAGGGGTGGAGCGAGACGGTCACGCGGTCATGGAATGCCAAAACTATATCTAGATTTTAGTTTTGAAATCCCGCCTAAAACGACGTCTAAAAGTATCAAGACAAAAATTCGACATTTTCGACCTTGGCGTCGTCGACACGGTCACTCGGTCATATGACGTCAAAACTATTTAGATTTTTGTAATTTTCGCCAGAAACTACGTTTAAAACGGCCAAAACAAAAAATTCGACACGTTTTACCCGTGGCGCCGTGACCTTATGACCTACAATTCTCATCTTCGAACTCATCCGTACCTCAAAAATTAGAAACCCGTTGGCGAAAACCGCTTGTTGAAAACCGTTCTAAAGTTATCGTGGAGACAGACCGGCGGACAACACTTTTCCATAAAGGGATTTCGCTTCTCTTCACCCTTTTAATACATAAATATAGATTTTTGTAATCCAGATAATAATCCGTAATCTGATTACTGTAATCCGTAATCCGTAATCCACGACATTAATTTATCCCAGTAATCCAACAAGTAATCCACATTATTTCAGGAACAAAGTAATCCCAATCCAGTAATCTCCTGATAATTTTTAAATTAATTAATCTGTAATCCGTAATCCATCGAAATTGTTGGGATTGCCCATCCCTGCTGACCACCGTCAGAGTGCAAAGTGACGTGAAGTCACAAACAAGGTTAGCTGACCATGTTCAGTTAGATGAGGCGTGGAAATGTTGGATTTATTTATGTTTATGGTTACAGATTAGCCATAAACACCGTTTGAAATGTTCTACTGTACATTCATTTGGTTTAACGCAATATTTTTTTCTTGGGCATAACAAGTTAATTTTGTTCTTGTAAAAATTTATTACGAGTAAATTCGAACAGATTAGGAAGAGCAAAAAAGTTGATTTTTTTGGAAAGATGAGATTTTTCATATACAGTTAAATTTGACTATTGCAAAGGGTGGTTGTTGTGACCCTCTTCAGAATTCTCGTCTACCAATGCCGCTAACATTATTCACCTTTCATAAACTTCACCCTTTTAGAGGTTGAACATTACAAGTTTCACACTTCACTTATCTCTCGACCAACAGTAACTTGGCTAATTATTACTAATAGCAGTGCACAATTAAACCACCTAAATTGAGCCATTTCGATCCAAAACGGGGTAAAATTAGGCCCCTGCGACACGTGCCTGTCTCACCCTTTGCTTCACACTGCGCACCGGTATATGTTTTCCTGTGTGAAAATTATTTGCAATTTGAACAAGCTTTTAGTGACCAGTGTCTGACCAGCAATTGGACCAGACCACCAAACAGTCCTCATTAGACACGGCCATTCATTATCATTAGGACAGGAAACGAGGAAAGTCTGAATGAGATCGGGTTACATGGAACAACATTGCAAATTGTGCTGTCATGGGAAACACGCGTTGTAAAGTGGACGTTAACACACATCACGACGACAACCATTAGTGTGCGAACGCTGTTTACATACAAAACTGAATCGTCAACCCCGCCCAATCCCATCCTATTCAAGAGTAAATGCAAAACAATTACCCGCGTTACACCTCCCAGTCTCTTCCCATGTATGGAAAACAAGGAACAAAAATTGTTTTGTTCAAGGACATACAAAAATAGAACGACTTTCACTCAAGAACCAACTAATGATCACTCGACCACATCATCGAGAAATGGCACACCCCGAATTTTCAACAATGTAGGCACATACTCACTTATTTATTGTGTGACATGGGGGGAGAGCGTTTGTACGTATATTGTGCGAGTTAGTAGATAAGAGAAGGAACACACGACTGGAAAAATTGCCTAAATTCAATAAAGCATCCCACAATAATATTCGTTTGTATTTATATGTATGAGTTTGTTTGTGGGACGTGAATTTAATAAATAATAATGAGTTATTCATCAATGTTTTACTTGTTTCGTGAATATGCTCATTGTTTTATGAATTTTAAGAGTAGTCATGAAATGAATAGGAAAAGACAGTAACACGAGGACAAATTTTTCGAAAATTTGCAGCTAGTAGAATAGAAATTTTGTCATCAATCCTTGTGCTTAAATCAAAAATTACGGAAATGGAGTACTTCAGAAATTCTGAACATTTCGGACAGTCTGAGGAAACAAGAACCTTGAAACCATTATTTACAAAACTAACCCTCCATTGACCTCATGTGTTTCTAGGTATTGACAGATTTAACTGCCAAATTCTGTCAACCTTCTTCGGCGTAACTATACATCCTTTTATAGGTGTAACTAATGAGCGAGAAGCTAAAATAGTGAAGATGTACACATTTCTGAAAAACTACGTATCCTCCCTAAAATAAAGAAAAGAAAAATTAAAAGCTGTTGAAGCTCAGACTATATTAATCAAATGGGGAGGAGGACGGATTTAAATCGTGTTCCTCATGGTTGCGTACGAAGAAGGGGTTAATATTTCACTAATGGGAAGTGAACGCACCATCGTTGTGTCACTGAGAGTATAAGTGCCTTTATGCAAATTAGGAAAATTATGATATTTTAAATGACTGATTTTGGTGAAAAAGATCACAATCGGATATAATCCTTTTACCAGTGGTTTCGATCAAAATCTGTTTGACTTTGTATTAAAAAGGTTTAAAGGTAGAGATAAAAGTGGCGTAAGTGAAAGGATTTTTTATTCTCTATTCAAATAAGTACTTACTTGGTGACAAGTTTATGCAGATTGCAGATTAGTAGCTTAGGTGGCGGTGTCGTTGAATGGAAGTGTTAAGTTGGTAATCTTCTGATATGTCGGATAAATTGTGTAGATTGCATTTTTGTTCCAATCGATTTTTTGGTTGATTGGAGTGTTCTTGCCTTGTCTCGTCATAAGGAATTTCTGTTACGAGCATTATGCGACCACTATCAGATATTATGCATGGAGTATAAATCAATGTATGTAATGCGGAAATAGGAAAGAACTCATTAATCGTTGAACACTTTATGTACAAATTTTCCAAAAACAAGTCGATGAAGCAACGCGCAGATATCTATGTTTATTGAACTCATAGTGTATGAATGTACTTGGATTGACAGTGATGGATTGACAATTACTACAATTGACAGTGTAGATAGTTATTGGTTCGCATGCAGATAAGTTGATACAATTATTTATCGTTGCGGCACAAAATATTTATTTTATTCCATTTCAATTTCAATAATTAAAAAATCAAAATGTATTATGAATTGTACATATTATTGTACATCGATGTTATCAAAATAAATTATGCAAAAATAAACAACTCATAAATACCAGATCAGTGATGAGCCAAGCCTTGACTTGTTTGCTCCATCCGAAATTGCATGAGAACTAAAAGATAGGTGATAACATTGGTCGTTGCAGCAGCCAGAAAAGGCATTTCCAAATTTGTGATGGAGTAGACGGTAAATTTTGTGGGAAATCCGGCACTCACTTGCAGCAAAAGGCTGACCTATTTTAGAATACGAAAAATCAGTTAAATTTGTGTTATAATTTTCATGGAGAAAAATTTGCAATACAATTCAACCACACAGATTTATTACCTGAAATCTCGCCGATGAGTTGAGGTGACTCAATTTTGCCTTTCTGATAACTTTTGGTACGTCCAGTGCCTGTAAATACAAACCCAGTGGTGATTTACATAACCAAGAAATGTCCATATAAATTTGTACATATTTATGAACTTGTAGCAGTACATACCGTTGTTGCCATAATATGCCCACTTATTAGGATTAGAAGCAATGACATAACCGAGTATAGAAAATGCATTGAGAACAAGATCAAATTATAAATATCGGCTGAATGGCCATCTTCATCAGGTAAGTTCTCATAATAGATAATCCTCCAGTAAAATCCGAAAACACATGTCAAAATCCCGTCACAACAAATTACGAGACAAGGGACACCAAAGAATTTTCTGATATGGATCACCGTTTCATTTAATTTTTCATAAACGAGTCGTATCATTTCAAAGTCGAGTTCTGAAATTGCATAAATATATGCATGCATAATTTAAGGTAAAGATGCATATGCATTATATATGTATATTTTGGCTAAATTGCTGCAAAATTGGAAAAAAATAAATTGATTTTGTTGATGCATTTTACATATAAATAAGTCAATTTTGTTGCACACAAAATTCCCCAAAATACGATACTACTTCAGCCGATATTAATAGTCTGAAAAAAATCTGAGAGGTTTCCTGGCAATAATTGATATTAATAATAATTGATATTATTAAAAAAATAACCTCTCAGAAAATTTTTTAAGGAATTGAGACTATTAATACTAGCTGAACAGTAGTAACTGTTTCATTGGTTGGATGTACATAAATATACATGAAAAAAACTATTTCCAACAATTTATGCTTATCTACTCGTAAATTGTATTCAACATTCAGAAGTATTCGTTACTTATACCTTTAGTCATCCCTCTGTACTTCAGGTCCTTGTATGCAAATCCATCCTGATCGTTCTCACCCTGAGTGATGCTCTCATCCAGAATCTGCTCTAGCAAAGTTGCCAATTTTGCATGCAGGCATTTAACCACAAGAGCGATCACGAATAGAAAAGATGCCATCGTCAAATGGGTAAACTCAGACCTAAGACATATGAAGACGGTATTTCATGTGCTTTGAAATTTTGAAATTTTGAAGCATCGCACTCACCCGGACAGGACCCAGACGAACATGACATAATTTCCTATACCAATGTCGAAACAAGTATCTTGCAATTTTCCCAAAATTCTTCCCTCTGTTCGATTCCTGTCGACACCATCAACATAACAAAGCCGAACCCCCAACCAAATCGTGTACCATACATTAATACTCCCCATTAGAAAGGAACCCAACGTCAACATCTTAGAAGTTCGGGAGACGGATGATGGAAATTTGTGGTTTAGAAATGAAGCAATTTGTTGAATAGATTCCCATCCGGAGCTGAGATGTCGGTTGAAGATTAAGCCGCAAATTAGGACCAAAATTGATTGCGTTACTCTGCAAATTTTATGAATTTAATGTCAATTTATAAATTTTCCTAATTTTGGCAGTCAGGCTAACCTGAAATTGACATGAATCTTGAATGCATACGCATCCGTCCCACTGAACATGGAGGCCACCACGGGCTGCAGCGTCTTAGAGACGAGAGATATTATAATCAACAAGCCAAATACGGCAAGAAATGCATTAATGAATGGATAAGAACACTTTATCCGTGATAATTTGCACTTTGTTGGGCTGGTGAGATCCAGTTTTGGTGATAAAATGTTATCACGACTGGCATTGGTGTCACTGTGACATTTGATGGTCAAAGGATTAAATCCGACCAGTTGGGAAAGTCTCAAGATCCATTTGATCTCGTGGCAGAGACAAGAGTACGACTGATTTTCGGGCGGTGGATCTCTGACTTCGTGATGATAAGCGTGGCGAAAATGCCACTTTGAATCCTGTCGTAAAGATTGTTCGACTGGGTGGATAGTGGAATTAAGAAAATGTTCGAAAACATTAAATTTTTTGGGGGAGTTCATCTTAGGTCAGCATGCTTATGATATCGCGAATATGTGAAGTCGAGAGATAAACTGACTCAATTATGCGGAGTGAGAGCCCTTTTTCTTGGGCGTGGGCAGGAATTGATGGATAGCGAATGTCGGAAATTGACCAATTTTACTAATTACAAGTAAATATCGTTCCGTTTCTTCGAAGAATAATAAGTTGCGTGTTGCATTTCACTTTTACGGTTGATTTCTTTTGTGGTTTACTTAATGCATTTATTTTCATTCCCGGAAGGAGTGGACATGCGGACATTTGGAACAGAACAGTTAGAAATACAACATCAAAGTGACGGTAATTAAGGAGAATTAGCAATCAAGGAAATATTGCGACTTTTCATTTGTTGTGCGTAGTTTGTGCATATTTAGGCAAATAACATATGTTTCGAAATAGCTACGGCTAACTCTGTGCAGTATGTACATGGTTGATGTTATGTATGTACATATTTCGCGAAAAGCCTAATTTCCTGCTGTCTTTCTATAATAATAATAAATATAATCGCATAATTTTTCATAGTACGAGGTACGAGGCACATACACATAAATACAATTTACGACACCCACTATTCGCTGTCAATCAATCCAGACTTCGAATTCCAATTAAGCATCACGTACTTAATTAAATACTGATCTGAAGTATTTCGCATCATAGCTTTGCATTTTGCATTGTTATGTCTGGTCAGATGCAGTTTGGTGCACACATATTGAAATATCTATCTGTTTTTGCGTATAATAGTCAAATATGTATGTACATAATTAAACAGGTAATTAAATTCGTGACTATAGTCGATAACCTATTCAAGCACACCTGGAGCACGTATCCAAATGACTATGGAAAAATTGTACGATGTACATGTGTAAATAAATATTAACTAACAAAGGAATTACGGACATGAATTGCTGATTATGAGAGATCAAACTCAATTACAAGTGATGCTCACATGTCATTAATTGCATTTTGTGATTTTGTGATCGATTGGTTATCAATGTACTTAAAATATAATGAGAATAAATTATTTAAAAATAAATCCATGATGAAACCGTTAGACAATATTTCGCATTAATTTGCACCTTTCGACCACAATAATTTCACAATTCAGGAAATGTTATAAAATTAAATGATCTCACTACACTGTAAATAAATATGTTAACTTTTCACGCGTTGTACTCATGCACACAATATAATTCCACATTTCCATCAACAACAACAACTAAATATACTAACGGTATACGATTGCATACATACAATGATTCGGATCGTGTTAAATTTGTTATTTTGTCCGATGAGACAATGGTTTCCAGTTATTTGTTTGTACAAAATATCCTGGATTTTTGATGACTAACATCACCATCAAACTAATACATATTTAACGTCATAACGCATAAGCTCCGAACGAGGACGCATCAATTCGTGCCGTGGAAAAATCGGGGCGATGATGAGGCGATGACGATCTCGAGAACAAAGTTGAATGAGAGATTAATTTACGCCAGGTAGGGTTTGTTTGTTATCTCGAAATTAAATTAAGCATTATCCATCCATCACTTAATGTTGCACTTTTACTGCCAACGTGATATCATCCCAATTCGTGAAACAATCATGATGAAACTGCTACTTGCACAGATTATCTATTGTGTGACCCGATACATACTTGACTTCCTCCTGCATTAACTATTTTTAACTGAGTGGTTTGATTTATCAGTTTATTCTTACCCGTTTTGCGTCACCAGAGTCCAAAGCACATAGTCGCCACTTGATCAAGGTGATGCGACCAGTGGAGAGACCCAATTAAATAAGTAATCCGGATTAATCTGCAAATACAAATATCATAAAACAATTAAATCCTCCCATTAAGTAAAGGTTATTGAAACTAAAATAAGGCAATTAGAACCTTATCAGCTAATAGCTTATCATTTTACATCCTGTATTTAACAGGTTGTACTGTTTATGTATGTGCCAGTAAAGCATAATCCGTGTGACTAAGCGGTAATTAATTTCCGTCTCTTAAAAATCATGGAGAAAGAATATTTGACCGTGTATTCACCCTCGAGGCCGAGATCGCCGTCATTTACAAATTTGGCGACTCTTTTTCATCGGTCTTCCTCAGCGCCGGATAAGTTATCTCAAATAGAATCAGGAACTCCGGTCATCACTTCGGCAACGTTCCAAACTGAGCCTGATTTTGTCAAGGCAGATTTAAATGCAAATAATCAAAATGATAACTACATTGGTTCAGACAAGTTCAATACTCATGTTCCGTTAAGGGAATTTTGTGGGAAGAGATGTGTCCGATTTTTCCCGATAACGAAATGGCTGCCAAAATATACTGGGAGGAAGTTTATACATGATTTCTTGGCTGGATTATTAGTCGGGTTGACTGTGATTCCACAGGCTCTCGCGTTATCGCTGATGGCAGGACTTCCACCTCAGGTAAAAAATTTAGACCTCAATTTGTTGGTAAAATTCATATATGATTTTGCGAAATTTTGCGAATAAGGTTTGCATACATATCTCAAGCTACTTGTTTCATGATAAATTTTAGTACGGTCTATACTCCGGATTTATGGGGTGTTTTGTGTACGTGTTCTTTGGCTCCACTTCCTACATAACGATCGGTCCGACGGCCGTGATGTCGATAATGACGTGGACCTATGGGCACGACAAGCCTCCCGAATATGTCGTTCTGCTCACTTTTATCACCGGCGTGGTGACGCTATCCCTGGGTCTCATGCAACTCGGCTTTATCCACAATTTTATTTCAATTCCTGTGGCAAGCGGCTTCACTTCAGCAGCTGCCGTGACGATCTGCTACACACAGTTGAAGGGATTACTGGGGATACAGTTTCAGGGGGTGGGGTTCATCGATATTGTGACGGGAGCGATCAACCATATCAAAGATGTCGGGATGTGGGATGTTATCGTGGCTGGATTGTGTTTGATAGTTCTGCTAATTTTGAGGGTATGTGCAGAAGTCCTTAATTTAAATTGATAAAAAATAGTAATTTAAAAAAAATTGCAGAAATTGGAGCTGATTTTTAGCTGCCTTGTTAAACGTGGCAAGCCATGGAGTAAAATTATCTGGCTGATCTCGGTCTCGAAAGGCATCATCGTGACGTTTTTGTGCACAGGAGTATTTGCAATGATTGGGAGTGATTCAATCGTTGGCATTCTAGGTAGATATCCATTAAAAAATTATTAAGTGTTTGCACATTTTAATTTTAGCTAAACATTGCGATACTTTTTAACCTACTTATTAAACAATTTTGACTTGAGTATGTCCTTAAATCCTGAATTTAAATTTATTAGGCCAGATTCGTCCCGGAATTCCATTCCCAGCTCCGCCACCATTTTCCTTCTCGAAGAACTATACACAGCCATACTCACTCATTCCTATCAACAAGTCATTCCACATCATGGACATAATTAAGGACGACGCCACTGTCCTGTTGGTTTTCCCGTTTCTCGCCCTCATGGAACACTCCCTTAACGCGAAGCAGTTTTCTGGTGCAAAATCTATAGATTTCTCCCAAGAGCTAATAGCGAACGGGTAAATTTTGTTATGAGTGTTATCAACTTAGACACGCATTTGTGTAACTGGTACGAAATTCGAATGTGTAATTGATAGCTAAGAGAAATAATTTTATAGGTTATCGAACATTGCGGCCAGCTTTTTCGGCTCGATGCCAATAACTGGAGCATTTCCGCGCACCGGGGTCAATCAGGCGAGCGGGGTGGAGACTCCGTTGGGGGGAATTATTACCGGAGTCTTGGTCCTGGTTTCCTTACAGTATTGCACTCCTTGGTTCTATTACATGCCCAAGGCAGCGATCGCGGCAATGAACATCATATCAGCCATTTTTACGCTGGACTTAGCAATACCAAGGAGACTTTGGAGATGTAAAAGTAAGTGAAATTTTAAAATTTTGTGAGAAATAATTTTACACACTTTATTTATTTGACAGGAATGGACTTAATTCCGTGGGGAATCACGTTTCTCGTCAGCCTATTTGCAGGGCTGCAGTACGGCCTGTTACTCGGATTTCTGATCAGTGTCATATTTCTATTGTATTGGGCAGCGTCTCCAAAAATCAGAGTAAATCGATGTAAAGTAAGGAAAAATCAGTTTAATTAATCCATTTAATGAATTAACTAATCAAAACATTTCAATCTCTTAGCTTTCTTCGACCGGAAGTCGTTTCATCATCGTTGACCTCGACCGCTCACTGACCTTCCCGTCCGCCGAGTACACAAGAACCGTTGTCATGAAATCTGGCGACCGTTGGGCCAACGGTAACCTGCCCGTCGTCATTGACTGTTTCCACATGCATTTCGCCGACTACACGGCCGCCCAAGGAATCGTGGAGCTGTTTAAAGTCTTCAATGGGAAAGGACAAGCGTTGATCCTGTTCCGACTGAAACCATCCGTTGAAAGGATCGTGACGAGTTTACTGATCATGGACGAGATACAATTCTACTCGGCCCAAACGGACGGTCAACTGCAAGTCTTGCTTCAAGAAATATGTGGTGGTTCAAGTCAAGAAGGGAAATCTCAAGAGGTTAAAATCGTCGGGCAAGTGTTGGACTTGGGGAATTTGGCAGAGTACGATTTGATCACGAATTCTGAATCGCCATCCCTTATTTATCCCGACAACACGAGGAGAGAAAATATTTCAATGGTGAATTTTTCATTGGGAAACAAACTCCTTAGTATTCCTAGTGTACAATCTCCGAGTAGGAGGTTTATCGTGAATAAGGCAGAAGATGAGGAGAAAGGACCCGATAGTCCGGTGGACATTGTGGTGTCGGAGCATTAGAAAATAAGGATTGTAGTTTTTAAGTTAAATATTTTTTTTATACGAGATGAATATACGAAAATTTCTAGGGAAATATACAAAAAAAGTCCACTATTTATTTCAACGAGCTAACTTAAGTAATTTAATCGTAGATAATTTTTGCACAATTGATTTATAATCAAAATTTAACTGAGTCATTGACTACGTTTCATACCGAAATATTTTGTCTATTTTCACAAAGATATTCTATTAACACAAGTCTCCCGAGATGTGTTTATTTCGAGCAATGAAATGTTTATGTGTGCATAAATTTAGCTTGGGTAGAAATCCGGTGGACATTAATGCCGCGAGGACAAAGGAGAAACCACATTAAGCCAAACGGTCCAGCGTACTGTTCTTGATTCCACTCATTAAAACAAACCCAGCTTTATGCTCGCATATAAAGAGAGAGGAAAGCAAATGAGAGAATGGTTAAGATTACGTGGGACACGAGTATGTACGTACGGAGACAGGACGGATGTCAAGTGGACAAGTCGCGGGTCAGGATGGAGATGTCATTTGGTTTTATGACGCCAGAGATTGTGACGAGATTGTGATGATTGTGTGGGTGACGAGGAGGGTGAATTGCATAAATAAATAAGTGGGGATGCGATTTCGTTTGGCAGATGAAGTGGGTGCAGACCTAGCAGAGTTGGGGGGACGGTAAGTACAAGGAAACCCAACCGCTGTAACTATTGCGAGGGGACAATATCATACGTTCTGAGAGTCCACTTGACCATCGCTGCATACATGTTTGGAAGCACCCCAAAGTAATAACTATTCTATCAAGATATCCAAATGATTGCAATAAATTTGCTATAAAAACACCCCAAAAGTACATGATCGAATCGAGGAGCTATCTCCTCCCGTGTTTGACGGGAAGTTGTCTACCAGAATGGTTAGGTTATCTTAACGTGCGCTGATATCGAAGTGAAGGTTCAGACGGTGGAGAAAGTTATTTTGCTCTTATTGGTTTTCTGATACTATATTCATTAGCACCCGGTTTTTTCGCAGGAAATAAATATGTACATAAGATTTGGTAAAAATTCTATCTTCAGGTTTTATTGAAGAATTATGATGTTATTATTCAATTAAGTTGTATAAAACTATTTGTAATGTCAACAAATATTCCAAGTAAAACTTTCACTTCATCTAAATACGGAGGAAAATTATGTATGACTGCTACTTGCTACTTTAAAAATTGAATTAACGACTGAATTTCCTTGCTGAAAGGACTACATTAGCATTTTTATTCTTAGAAATTTGTATTTCTTTCATTGCCAGTGGTATTTTTCCTTTACGATAAAGAGTAATTAGTCGCATGCACGCCGACGTGAAACCTATCACTTAATTTACATTAATTTCAACCTCAAATAGGAAATTCGTCTCTTACTCCTATTATTCCTTGACATTACCAGCCTCCGTATTCAGTCTGTTGAATAAGTTCCGGTTAATTCATCACCGTCACAAAATGTTTAGCTCTCCTTCTTTCTTTAGATTCCCAAGGAACCCTCTTTCACACGTCTTCACAGTTGATTAAGCAATAGCTTCGTAGTTTTTTCTTCCAAGATACAAAGTTTGATGAAGACAAAGTGGGATTTCCTGCTTAATTAGGCGACGAAGGTGGAGGAAAGCTCTCTCGTAGAAGTTTTGTGATGCATGCATGGAACCCGTGAATTTAGTAATAGCGATGATTTTCTAATGATTCTCTAGCAGAGATAATCGGTGAAAAGGGTTATACTCGTCAATAAATATATGTTATTTAGCATATTTGTCATTCATACGTGTAAATATGTATAAATCTTTTTCATGCTAAACACCATTTCGTAGTTATTCTTGAATCTGACCTCACTGGTACAAATTAACCAACATGATACGAGTTTGTTACAACTTTCCATCTGCATTGCAACACATCCGCCACATTATATATCACACAATCAATGTAAAAGCATACTCCCCACTTCTGCTCAGATAGTTTCGATAAGTACAAAGTATGCCAGCGGTCGCAAGTGTGCGACAATCATTCACAAATTCACACTCCCAGAATAATTTGATCCATTGTTGGAAATGTCACGAAAACTTGTGGTTGTTTAAAAAGCTCGTACTTATTTTATACGCATTTCGCTCTTTTTTGAGATAGATTACTAAAAAAAGAAGTGATTCCCTTTCGACATTTGAGAGGAAAAGTAGCATCAATCATCACACCCCAACAAACCACCCGACCAAAATCCTGGAATTAAGCTCGCTTTCAATATCGGATCAGGAAGGGTAAGTTCATGACGGATTAGGTTTTTTTCCGGTCGCGATGAAATTGTAAAAAGATTTTGGGAGGATAACAAGTCGACTATATTTTTGTCACATTTTTTTAGCAGGTGTCGAATGGTATTTAATTTAGTAAAATTTACTCTTGAATAAAGTATATCGACTTTTGTATCACAATATATATTTATTATAGTGTCGATTTTTTTTAAATAAGATGGGATTATATGTAAAAAAAATCCATTAAAGTTCCCTTATCAGGTGATGCGAGGCGAGGGTGACTTCATTAAAGCTTAATAATGAGAAGCTTATGCTTTTTGTTATCACTTCCGAATACAGCGACATCATCACCGAATGCTCGTGCTTCCATATTATCTGATTTGAATGCAGAAGATCAGACAGAATTAAGTAACAAAAGCTTGACACAAAGAAATGGGGTTGCGATCTAATTTCACATATGAAGCAAAGGTATTAAATGTGTATGGTAAAAATGGTTGTCAATGTTATAATTGGAAAAATGTTGTCATTTTAATAAACCACAATACAGTGCTCTCTGGAAACGTAATTTTTACTGTCTAGTAAATGACAAGAGACTCAATAAATACGCGCTGATTCCTTTCCCGTCGCCACTTCCGGTGTGAAAATGAATGTTACTTGAACAAACTTTCACAGAGTGACCACAAACTGACCAGTGTGACCGATCAAGTATGTATCCACGCATGGTAAGCCACCATTAACCATCATTAGGGCTACAAATACAAGAAACCCCAGATCAAGTTACTCTTGGACATCCCTGCAAATTGTTCCGTTACAACGAGTCTCATTCGGACGTATGTACATACAATCATTGCCCTCCAGAGATGTTAATAATATTGATCACCAACCCAATTCAAGTGCCAAATATAATGCACAACCACCGTTACACCTCCTCCTCCCATGCAGAATAAACAATGGGAAATTGTGGGCACTAACAAAGGGAAGAACTTTGCGTTCAAGGACCAACTAACGATCACTCCACCTCATCCTCGTTGAATAAAATCGCAAAAGCTTCCCACCCAACAAACAATGAGCATGCATTCAATTATTGTCCGATCGAGAGGACGGAGGCCAACGTCGTTGCGTATTGTTTGCGTGCAGGGGACACGTGACTTGTACGATTTACCCAGGAACAAGGGTTCTCCAAAATATTCACTATTTTGAGCATCTCATTATGCATCGTATCATTATTGTTGAGTGTACGTTTGCATCCTTCAAGTGGGCTTATTATGGGAGAAGAAACGGTCTAAAAAATTTGAATATATTTCATTTTTATCGGTTTACACGGTGGAGAGAGAGTGGAAATAGTCAATCTCGTCAAAGTGGAGAAACAAGAGACTTTTACGACTTAAAAAGAGTACTGTGAAGCTTGAAGACAGCATTTCAATCGCCCGTAACACATAATCCAGGCAGCAAAGACGTTTCGTGTCAGTTTGTGAGATTGCTTTCACGAGCACATGGCTTCTTCTCTCTCGTAAACGAGGAGACTCCTAAATTCGGAAAACAAAGTCAACCTGCTCCCATTTGACCCAAGTGCAGCATCTTTTCGACATGTTTAACTTTTTGTGTAAAGTAATGAGCTTGTCGTTTAAAAAAGAGAGCTTTTTCCGTCGTAAAATGATGGCTCCCTCTTCACCATAAATATTTTGTTGCACAAGGTTCTGTTCTCTTTTTAATTATTTTTCTGTTCCCGTCTGGTTTCTGACATTTGCATATTGGTGTTTATGTACATACGCTGAGGAGTTTATGATTTTTTACATAAAATCTGTAATTAAGAAAGAAAGGGGTTTAATCGAGTTTAATAAGGAAATGAATTTTTTTATAGGATGTAAAAATCTAAATTAAGGAGAAGATTCACTCGTAATAAAAATACAGCTAATTAAATCTGCTCGAGAAATGGAAGGGTTGGTGCGATATAATTAACTAAAATTCACCAATAAGCGCTGAAGAGGAAAGAAAGATGATTAATGCCATTACCATATTGTTCAGCAGTGTTGAAAAGCCAGCAATATTGCACTTGAAGATTTTTTTCGGTCGTGTTACAAAACTTCACCCTGAAGCTACACGAGTACACCATTCACTTTCTCGCACTTTGCGTCACAACCCTTTTTTTATTGTTATTATTACGCCGAGTATGAGTCTCATATTTAGCGTACGTAACATAACAGGGACGAAACTGCGCTCGGAAGTCTCATCCCATAAAATGTTCACAGTCCGTTTAATTCTAAATTTTTTAAAAGCTGTTCAACTTCAAGGCATATAAAATTGAGGGAACGAAGAATGGATCGCAATCACATTAAAGTTGGGTTAGTTTACAACCGTGGAGATGGAAATGTTCACGGCGGAAAGTGAAAGCAATCTTTCCCTGGTCGAAATGGTTTTATGCAAATTATGGAAATCATGACATTTTACGATGACTGATTTTCTGATTGTATGTATTCTGATTCTGATTGTATTCTTTCAATAGCGGGTACTTTTTTTATCAGTGCATGTTTGACTTTAATTTAAAAGGGATTTAAAAGTGAAATTGAACAGGGTTTTGTCATTCTTTACATATTTAAATGGTGGCTGACATGGTGTCAATGGGGTGACAAAAGTTTAATCAATCGGGCGGATATTGTGTGTGTGTGGTGTTTATAAGTATTGTTTGGTTGAATATGCGGTAAATTTTGTGGGGTGGATTGTTTCTACTGAAGTGATTTGTGATTGATCGCTGTTTGCGTTTCCCACATTGAGAATGCTTACGGATAAGTTCAATTA